TTAATTTTAACTAACGCCGATCTTGTTTTTCTTAGAGTTCCCAAATAGATTCAGCGAGCATTCGGTCAATCCTGGGTACCGATGCTTTCTCTATTCAGGAAGTCTTCTATGAATAGATACAGCGAGTATTCGGTCAATCCTGGGTACCGATACTTTCTCTATTCATAGTGATGGTACAAGATCGTTGGCGCCTCCACCATGTGACGATGAGGTCTCCACCATGTGACGACGAGGGACTCCACCAGTAGTGATGAAGCGGGGACTCCACCATCGATGATTGGGACTGTTGGGTGACGTATGGTTAAAAGGCCAAACTTACATTATAACGGCTTTATTTCTGAATGAATTTACATTACAAGCAATATGGGTTTATATACAAAACTAGAACACTACGTCATATACACAAGAAATACATGTTTGCTGATTATTGCAAGATTGCATTTCTCACAATAAATTTCCACGTAAATCTATTTGAGAATCAAATAATCTGCAATAATCTGAAACTTTCCTGTTGTTTTTATGTGGGAAAATAATTATTATATTAAAATAAAGTAAAATTAATAAATCAATAAATAATATTTTCTTATTTCGTGACAATATGCATTCAGTATTATTTGTATATTACGTAATTAACAATGTTAAATATAAATCATGCTTTTTTATTAACAATATACAGTTTTATGTTCCTAAAATGAATCTAAGAATTCACAATTCTAGTCTGTTTCACTGTGATACGTCAAATAGGACACCAATGACCGCAATGCAACATCAGAGCAATATAATAATTAATAAATATAATATTGATATGTTCAATGTAGATGTTAAGGAGCTAAAGTCCTATTTTATGCATGGGACCTGTTAGGTTAGGTAGTAGGTTTAGTGTTTAGTGATAGCTTTAGTTGTAGTGTTAGTTTTAGTCTCCCTCTTACTTGTAGGTATCAAAAAATTTTTTTGATGTTTGTAAGATGTACCATAAATAAATAAATAAATAATTATAAAAGAAACTGACTAATAAAAAAACGACATTAAATAGCGTCCAAAGACTTGTTTGCTTCTTTATGATGGCGCCTCAACCATTCGAACAAGGACTGCGTAAGTTGGTTTTGCGCAGCTACACGAGAGCCCTCGTGCGATATTTTAAAGTATTGGGAATAATCAATTAGCAGATTCCTTTTTAGAATCTCACACTGGGAATGCCCAATTGAATTCAATTGGAAATTACCTATGGGTAGCCTTAACCAATGGAAACCACTTAAAAACAGTAGAATCCTAATTGGACTTTTCCATATTTTAAATTATTGGGAATAACCAATTAGCAGATTCCTTTCTAGAATCTAGAATCTCTACCAATTGGTAGCTTTAACCAATCGAAACCCCTAAAAAACAGTAGAATCCTAATCGGACTTTTCCATCATGGAAAATACCAGTAAAAACCAGTTTATTTTTTATATCGCTCCCAATTAAACCCAGTACCTAAGTTCAATTTGTATTGATACCAACCAATACTTCAATTGGTTTCTATAAGGAATTAATCGGTCATTTACAACAGGGATGCTATTAGGTTATACATAATATTGTGTTTATTTACATGGTACATTATATTGTGAGCCGTAGATGTTGCAGTCGTTAGATGCAGGCACCTCCGCGGAGGTCCGCACCGTTGTTATGTTGAATGATTATGTAGTACGCCGCTATTGTTTGGCAGTGGCGTAGCTAGCCTCGAGGGGGGCCCGTATCAAAAATCTGGTAGGTGCCCTTATGCGGGAAAAGCTGCTGGCACAATTTTCTGGGTGTCACGCCCAAACTCTATTTTGGCTAAACAAAAAAAAATTAGGGTATCATTTTTTTTGCATTTAACAATTTTTTTATAATTTAATAAATAATATATTTATACATAGTTTTTTATGTATAGGCATATTTTAAAATTTGGTCTGGTTTTAGACATTTAGCGTTCTTCAACATCTTTTAAAAGGTTTCCATTTTAAAATAAAGGCAAGTCATTTGAAATAATTGGAACGCTAATAATTATTTCTAATTTGCTATTAATATAACCTTTGATAATAACACGTAAAGCAGACTCAGTATGCGGCGCAGAGCATAGAACAATATGTGCAGACTGCGCCGCAGACAACGCATAGCGAAAAGGTGCGGACACTGCCTCGTTAGAACAGGAGGGTATTCATGAAAAGTATAAACAATTAAATAATAACATTATTTATTTATTTATTTAATTTCATGCCTCATTTTTTTAACATGTGTAATATGTTTTTTTGCTTACGCATGTCGAAGCCATTCGGGGCCCCCCCTAGCCGGGGGCCCCGTATCATTGATACGGCTGATACCGCGGTAGCTACGCCCCTGTTGTTTGGATTGAAGTGAGTTCGCCCGCCTTGTTCACGTAGTGATTTCAGGAGCGATGCTGGTTTTGTTTTTATGTTTAAGTTTTTTGTTTAGACTAAGGTTTTTGATACGGAAAAAATTTTGTAAATTTTACAAATGCTTGGATATTTTCGGGTTGTTCGTTTTATTGTATTTTTATAGACTATGATTGAGATTACGATTTTAAGGCTATGATTTTTGTGTGGTTTTATTTTTACTGTCATTTGTTAGGGTTTTGTTTGCTTATATTTTAAAATTAAATTAAATTGTTTAAAATAGGTTGGTAAAAACAAGAAGTGTATAGGTAGGACGATTATTTAGTACCTATACACATCAATATATTTAACAGTTAAATAATAAGTCTCCCGACGGTCTTAGTCCCTTATACAGGTCTCCTTTTGATAACTATGAAGCAGTTCTGGCCTTTTCTCGCGGAGCAAATGTGAGGCCAGCTTGATCCGGGTAGAAGAGAAGAGTCTTGAAAATTGATTTATTTATTTTTCCCTTTCTCCTTTTTTCTTAAAGAATGTTGAATGAAATGAGAAATTTGGTAGAATGTTTCAGGGGAAAAATAAAGTCAAAAAACCCCCTTAAAAAATTTGGAAAAGTAGCTAACAAACAAAAAGAGAAAGAGTGAAGAAAGAGACTTGCAGCACCATGGGTTTAGTAAGGTTGGATTTGAAGGGGGTGTTGAAAGTTTGGTTGGTGATAATCCTGGAGGTCGAAAACCCTAAAGCCCTTGATCAGCGGATATCACCCACGTCGCTTATTGTTCTGAAGGTTAAGTTACCGCGGTGTTAGTAATGCACCGGGGGGTCCCGAACAAACTTCTTAAATATAATTCTCAATATTAACTTTAGCACGGTTAATACGTTTAAACTTTTTTAGGATGGATAGTTACAAGCCGGGCGGATTCAAATCTGCACTGTTAGTCCGACGTATCGATGAAGGCGGGGGTTTGCGGCGTGCGGGCGGAATATATCTGTTTCAGTAGGCGTCAGCCATCATAATCGTGCGAAATAGTAAGATGTTCGTCAGCGCGTTGCCGATGTATACAGTTTACTTTGTTTTGAAGAAGGTCAGTGAGTCAAAAATCTCGCCGGTCGTCGTGTCGTGGTGCGTGTTATTGTTTTCTGTTATTTTTAAAATGGAGATAAATATCGTAAATTATATAATTACGTGTTAACATATTGAATGTGCGAAAATAGATTAAACGCTATAGCTATGTTGAATTGAAAGAAAATTGGCTACTGAAAATTTTAATGAACTTGTCACTTTGCGCCCGTAAAAGAAAGGCGAATTGACTTTATCTATAAACAAATAAACTAAAATAAATGCTTGTTTTAAAAATGTTAGATTAAGAAACTGTAACCTACATAAAAACATTTTGTAAATGTTTTTTTAACTAGTTTATGGGTCTCACATCTTACATACATCGGTAAGTTTATTATCCAATTTTTGCATGTATATATATTTCTGCAACCCCCAATTTAATATGTCACCAGCCGCCACTGCTTAAATCACATCCCCAGGATATCCCAAAAGGTCAAACTATGAACTTCCTCTGGACGTCCCCATATGATCATCCCATTCTGGGACATAAGGCTGGTCCAAGGACGTCCTGAGGACGTTTGTGTTTGAGAAATCTTGACCTAAAAAATATATAAATTTTTTTTCAAAACCGTTTCTAGGATATGTGATATGACCACAAAAATGACCTTCACTAAGGAGCCACCCCAGCTCATTTTTTTTAAATGGCAACACGTGTTACCCTCTTTGTGATACCTTTTTGAAAAGCTCTTGGACATTGCAATTTAACAGTACTAAAATAATACATTTTAATAGTTTAATTTTTGAAAAATACGTAAAATATTTTTTATAATTATTTGTTTTAATTTATCGTTATAAATATCAAATAATACCATTTTCTTGTCGTAAAAACATAGTAAAAAACTGAGGACCACTAAATAATTCTAGCAAAAGTATACTTAATAAACTAAAAATTCGAAGTTTCGGCGAAATTACCGTATACTTTATACTTCGAAAGTAAAGCGATTTTTCGTGAAGTGCTAATTTCGAAAAGAGATATTTTAGCTATTATTTCACTTAAAAAAACGAACAAAAAGTCAATTTTGCTCAAAATTGAACATAGATTCTATTTCTTTGCTCCTTTAACTATGAGGATGAATTTAAATCAATATGAAACTGTTTATTATATAATAGATTTAATAATTATAATTACCTATTGCTAACAATCTAATGTTGACGAAATAAATTATAATAAAATCCAACAAACGTAAAATGACTTAAGCAAACAATCCACAAGGAAAAGCTTTCGTTTTCAAAGAGAAAAGAAGGGGCTCGACAAGGGCAGGTGGGTGTTGGGGGGAGGTAAAGGAAACAACAAGGGCAGGGGGAGGCCTCCCCTAGGGGTAACGCAGTTAAAAAGCACCACTGGAAATAATTGCTCTTTCTACCACGTATCTACGTGCTACCATAATGTACTACAGTACTAAAGTGTAAGAACAGGGAAAGCCCGTATTTGGATCATGCAGAGAAAAAGTTCTCCCTTATATCAAAAAACACCTCCGCGAAACCACAGATCTAGAAATATCTAGGCGCCAAACTTTGCAAAGGTTTAGATCATAAACCAAAAATATATATATGGTTTAGATATTAAAACAACATTCTGTAACAACCCTAGATAACAATGAATTTTATTATCATGACAGCAAAAACAACACTGACAGTAAATAACTAATTGTCTGCCGTCAACTTTAAAATGCATTTTAATTCGCTGCAAAAAGCAATTATAATATTTATAATAGTCACCACCTCACCTGCATCTTCTTTATACAATTCCTCCGATGATGTAATAGAACTTGACTTTAATACGTTTATGGAAAATAAAATGAAATCAGAATTTTGGCTTGTTGAATTTTACGCCCCATGGTGTGGTCATTGTCAAAAATTTGCACCAGAGTATAAAAAAACCGCCACTGCATTAAAAGGAATTGCGAAAGTGGCAGCGATAAACTGCGAAGAAGACAAGCGATTAGCCCATAAGTTTGATATTAAAAGTTACCCAACGATTATACTTTTTGGAAATGATGTTTATAAAGAATATAAGGGGGGAAGAAGCTTGGACGAGTTGGTAAAGTTTGTTGAAGGAAATCTTAATGCTACAAGTGATAAAATACAGCTAACAGATAATAATTTTAAAGATTATGTCTTTAATTCAAACAAATCTTGGATGGTAGTGTTTTACGCCCCTTGGTGTGGTCACTGTAAAAATTTAAAACCTCATTGGAAGAAAGCTGCAAATACGTTTAAAAATGTAGTAAACTTTGCCGGTTTAGATGCTACAATACACAAAAAAATGGGTAAAAAATACATAGACAAAGGTTATCCTACTATCAGATACTTTAGATCTGGATCCGATTATATGGGGGATATTTATGAAGGAACTAGGATTGCTGACGATATAATCCAGTGGGTTCAAGAGAAAGAATCGGAAGATTATACTCCCCAACTTAAAGAAATTATAAATGAAGCAGCCTTAAGAGATTCTTGTGAAAATACTTTGCTATGCATTTTATCATTTCTTCCAAATATTCTTGATTGCCAGTCGGAATGCAGAAATACTTATTTAAACATTTTATCCGAGACAGCTAGTATATATAAAAAGCAAAAATGGGGTTGGGTTTGGAGTGAGGGTGGGGCTCAAATTGAATTAGAAAACGCTGTGGAAGTGGGTGGTTTTGGTTATCCTGCTCTGGTGGTTGCTAACTATAAAAAGTCAAAAATATCTGTATTCCGTGGTTCTTTTTCCATTGAAGGTATTTCGGAATTTTTAAACGATATACGAAGTGGGAAAGGTTCTTCATTGGTTATTAAAAAAGATAAATTGCCCAAGATTAATAATGTTGTTTCATGGAATGGTCAAGATAGTACATTGCTTCTAGAAGATGACGCAAAAGAAGAGTTGTAGTTTGTTTATATGATTTATTATTAATATAAAATGGGTAATAAAATTATTTTCAAATGTCAATGTCAATATTATTAGCATTTTTATTACTATTACATTTAGGTTTTGACCAAGCTAATTTTGTCAATGTATCGATCTATCCAGGGAAACCACTTTTATCAAAAATAATTGATGGGTCAAGCTGTAGCACCAAGAAATATCCATATTTTGTATAGCAGTAAAAATTTATTAAAATTATTATTGATACGTTTTTCAGTAGCTATCGATTAGAGAGAAATTATCAAACATAAACATATGTGGAGGGACTTTAATAAACTCTGAATGGGTTTTAACGGCAGCTCATTGTTTTCAACCTAACATTGTTTACGTGGTAGTGGCATTTTATTCCAATGTTAATAAAAGAATATTTATGAATATCAAGGAGGTCTTGGTTCATCCTAAATATCAACCTAAATTGTTTATAAATGATATAGCTTTAATTCGTGTAAGTACAATTATTAGTTATGTTTATTTGCATATCGATGAATTTCTGCCAAAGTATCGCAAGCAACATAACTGAAATTTCGGGAATTGAAAACAATTTTTGTTTTAAAGTATGTTTAAATTAAATATAGTCTAAAGGTTTTATAACAAGTAAATAGCTTATAATTATTTATAATCTATTTACTACAGGTTATATATGGTTTCAAACAGACTTAAAAAAAATGTTTTCAATTCCCTAAATTTGAGATATGTTGCTTGCGATACTTTGGCGCAAAGTCATCGATATGCTCCATAATTTCTTTATGATTAAGACTATGGGTATTTATTTGGTCAAAAACCTATAAAAATAAAATAAAAGATTATTTCTTGCTAGTTATTTACCCTGTAATATGAACAATTTTTAATCATGAAATCCCTGATTATTGTGGAATGCATTTTTATCAACCTCCTGTTAATTATTCTTGACTATTACGGATATTCTTACATACTTTTAAAGAATCTAAACGTGAATTTTTAGCTTGATAAATCTCTTAATGTGTCACGACATTTTAATTTTATACAGTTACCCAAAAAAATGCAATCAAATCTACCACATTGTAAAGAAGCAATGGTTATGGGTTTAGGGTCATTAAGTTCAGAAGAAATAATATTACCTCGTGATCTTCAATGTGGTGTTGTTAAATTAGTATCCATAAAATACTGTTCGATTTTTTATGGAAAATACTTAAAACGTTCCCTATGTACCCAAAATGGACCTAATTATAAAAGTGATACTTGCAAAGTAAGATTTAAATATAGTACTATTATTATGATTATTATTATTTTAGATTTCTTTTTTAAGAAAATGGTTTTTAGGGGGATTCTGGAGGGCCATTACTTTGCGATGAAATACAAGTGGGCATCGTATCCTTCGGAATTGCATGTGGTAAAAACTCTCCACCAGGAATTTATACAAAAATTGATGAGTTTTTGGATTTTATAAATAGTCATACTGGTAATTAAACAGTGTTTTTTTAGTTCTATCCCCACTTCCAAAGAAGTCCAAGAAGCCAACTTAATGGTCTGTGTGAGTTGGGGGTAGAAACGGACCGGGCTTAAAATACCCTTCGAAGGACAAATACAAAAATAAATAACCATACCAATTTGGGATTTAAACCCCCGACCTCTTTACTTGTAGTAAGCTGCAAAATCAAATCAAATCAAATTTATTTTAATATAAAATATACATATATCGGCGTCCATTTCAAATATGGAGGGTAGAGAGATGAAGGACTCCCTTTGTGTATAAAGTGTTCATAAAATAGAGTAGCTAAGATGGAGTTATTACAGTAAAAGTCTTAAAGATGGCCGTATAGGTTATCCAATCAAAGACGTACGTCCACAGCACCCTGACCTTAACAACGCTAGCCAAAGACAAAGATAAAGACAACGAACGTGCGTTCAGGTCTTACCAGCGCCACTCTGGGTATTTATAGAACTACTTACATACTTCTTTAGGTGGACACTTTTGCATCTGAAGTTCCATAAGAAATAGAAACTTGTTTTTCTCTTTACCGTCCATAATTTTAAATATGAGCACGATCTACCATTTAGTTTGTCGCGTCATGAATGATTTCAGGTTTGTTGAAAAAAAGAGAATATTTTAATATTTTTAAAAATGGTGAATGAGCCAGAGTAACTGAATCTTTTGAATGGTTTACCAAGATTTTCATGACCGGACAGTTCGGTGAAAAACCGGACATGGGTTATTCCATTAATAGCGGACCAAAAAGACTTTGAAATTTAAATTTAATTAAAGACTTGCTAATTACCTCGAAATACATTTTTCACATTTCTCTATACAAAATCACTAGACTGTAATAACAGTTACACATTAAAATTGAGTTTACGTGAAATATTGCAGTTGAAGTAAGTGGTAACGGTGGGGAGAAGTAAAAACTCCATGTATCAAAAACTAAGTTTAATGCCTTTAAAAAACTTTAAAACTAAACAACGTTCTTATACAAAATAAAAACAGGTAATTATAACGTCGCCATAGATCAAAAGCAAAGTTTAATGGCTTTAAAAAACTTAAAGTTTTTTACCTGCCCACGGATATTTATCTTGGGCTCTGTAAGAACGGATATAATATTATCGTTATAAATCAACGATAAACGTCAACTATAGTCAACTATAGCTATAGGAAACGAACAGAAAGTGCCAGAAATTGATTTTCGTAAAAACTTTACACCGACGGTGGACTAGTGGTTAGTGTTGCTGACTACAAGCCTAGAGGTCGTGGGTTCGAATCCCACCAGGGGTATGGCTGTTTATTTGTGTTTGTCCTATTGTGTATTAGTCCTTCGGAGGGGAATTTAAGCCCGCGGTACGTTCCAACCCCTAACCCGCTCAAGCCATTCAGTTGGCTTCTGGGACTTCTTAGGAAGTAAGGGTGGAACTAAAAGAGAACTTTTTTTGTATATATTCGTTTTTGCTTAAAGTAGTACCAAACGAAATTGAAAGGATTTTTGCTTTATGTGACCTGGACTACGGAAAGGTACCTATGGTTGAAAATCAAGTTTTCGAGAAAACAGCTGATAACAAGTCGTGTCCGTGCGTCGCGTTTGTATTTGCGCTTCTATCGCTTCTTTTTTCGTCTTACCCTAGGCTCTCCCCTTCTCTTTAGACTTCCATTATACAGTGGTGCTTTTACAATAAATATGTTTGTACCTTATTCAAGTGATTTCCCCTAAATAGCTAATTTTGTGAACGTTGAAAAATAATACGTGCTGCTTTTCTTATCATTGTATTTTCGAGATCGTGGTTTTTCGTTCTTATGCAGCTAATTTAAAATTGGTTTAGTTTGTTAAAGTGCAGAATGGATTTAGAAGAAGAATTTAAAGTAGTGGAGGTGCAGGTGTTGATATGTCTTTTCAGGATATTGACGAAAATAAAAGATGAAAAAAAGCAATTCGTGATGTATTTACAACTTTTTTCGCGATTTTTATAATTCATGTTGAACTAAGGATGATTTCCAGCAAAAGTTTCAAACTTAGGAGTCTGCGGTTTGTTCCATTAAAAAATACGTTAAATTTTTTTATAAATTTCAAATAAAAAACAAAAATTGATTCTTTCGACCATAGGTACCTTTCTATAGTCCAGGTCACATATATTGTTTTTGAGACTTATTTGCGGTTAGCTCCATCAAAATAAAATCATTTATATTGACAAAGTGAGTAGCACCATCTTGATTTTTTAGTTCAATTTGATCGGGTTCTTTATATGAGTAGACATCTCCATACGCAACTTTGTTTTTCCTTGATGATGGTCTAAAACAAAATTTAAAAACTCTCAGATTAAAGAAATATCTTATTTCATTTCAATGTTTACCTTTACTAATTCTCGCAAGAGGAAGGTTTTCATCGCTACTATTTCTTGAATTGCTCTGATTTTCCAAATTGTTTGAAGTTAGGACATCTAAAATGAAAAAGTAGATTCTGTAGAAACATTTAAAGAGTTACATTTATATTAAAAACACGTACCTTCTAAATGATTTTGGAGGCAGTGAAAACTTGTATGCCCTTCATTTTTCGGATAAGCGATATCTAAGAGCATATTAAGAAAAATAAATTATTTTTAAGGCAAATATAGCGATCTGTTTTGAAAAGGATACTTTGCATATATATATAAGATATATCTTCGTTTGCAAAAGACAGATGAACAAGCGAGTGATGAAAACATATTTCACTTGGATGACAAACGTTACAAGAAACTTTTCTAAGATCCATACTCTTATTATCTGTATCCCATGTAACTTCATGTACTTGCATAGTTCCTTTAAACGCTTCTAGATCAATTATGTTTATTGCATCTTCGCTTACAGGAAATATGTTAATTCCTTTAGATCTCTTAAGTGATCTAACATGGCTTCGTAGTTTTAAATATAAGTTCCTTTGGCAACTAAATCATCTGCGCTTCATTTAACATACCATCCAATGCCATCGGGAGCTCCTTTGCCATGGTGGCTTTCAAAATAGTGCCCTCTTATATAATTTGCAGATAACCTGCCAGCCAAATATGTTGTCATTAGGTAAAACATGGTTTTATTTTTGTATTGCGTAGAAGGTCCGTCTGTTAGAAAATGTACTAATGTAATATTTGGTATAGTCATTTTAATGTCATCTAAGATCGGATCCACAACCACAGTATGAAAGCTTAGTTGTGGTTAAGATCCGCCAAAATGTGCCGACTGAATTTCAGAGGCGTACTTACTATCCATAGTTCTCTGAAAACTCCATGTGGAAAAGCAATTCGGAATGGGACAGGTTTTGTTTGATTTCACGAATTTCTCTGTATTGGTGTAATATATGTAGGGATTTATTTGCTAGATTATTTTAAGAATAAGAAGTCCGTAAACTTTAAATTAAAAATAGTCGTTTATTAAAATATAAAGTTAAACAACAAATGAAACTAAAAGTAAATATAATACTTAGGTACTATTACATATCTTTGGGGTTACTTCACATTCCCACGCATCTATTTTAGTCTTTTACGTTATCTACACTTTCACACACATATTATCAGTCCTAGACCCTTGCGGTCG